GGATGAGAACAGTAGGGAGGTCAGGGTCAGAGGTCAGAGGTCATTTGCTGCAGCCTTCCCTGCTGGTGACCGATCTGCTCTTTGTCTCCCCCCCCCCCACAGAGAGAGAAGATCAGGGAGAAGTTTGTGGCCACCCTGCAGAAGGAGTTTGCTGGGAAGGGGCTGCGTTTCACCAGGGGTGAGTCACCGAGGAAACCGCCGAGCGACAGCCGGTCGCGTGGAAAATCACCACCGACCCCCCCCCCTCAACCTCGCTCTTCGCTCCACTTTCAGCTTTCTGGGTTTTGCAAGAGAAAGAGCAAAATATCGCAGCTCGTTAGCTAACGAGCCATAAAACGCGTTAGCGATCTGTGCTGGGGCAGGCAGTTTTCTCTGTGAGTGTTTGCTTAGCGACTCTCTCTCCTCGGTCCAGCCTCGGGGCCTCAGGGTGCTGTTTTCTCCCTGGGGGGGGACCAGCAGGGGGGGAGCCCCCAGGCTCCATTAAACTACAAGCTGATCCCGCGGACTGATATCTCCTCCTGGCCCAACCCCCCCAGTCTCAAGGTTAATGAGCTGACAGCGCTGGACTTTCTGAATAACTAACCTGATGGCTGACTGTCTCAACAACTGGCTTTATCACCGACAAAACCTACTCACCAGTTCTCCTTCCTCGTTAATGACTGACCTCAATCATTAACATATACAGAAAATCTACTCAAAAGTGAGCGAGGAGCTGAATAACTGAATCATCTCATGACTATCTTGTTTTAGCTCCATCACTCACTGACTAACTGATTCCTTCACTGGAATTTTCAAGCAGTCCCAAGGAACTGGAATAGCAGGGGAAATGTCTGAGGGTCACACAGGGCTTAGTGCGTGAGACTGGGGCAGCGGGGGAAGTATTTGAGGGTTGCACTGTGCTTTTGTGCGTGAGACTGGGGCAGGGGGGGGAGTGTTTGATGGTTGCACAAGGCTTCAGTGCATGAGACTGTGGCAGTGGGGGAAGTGTTTGAGGGTCACACAAGGCCTTAGTGTATGAGACTGGGGCAGTGGGGGAAGTGTTTGATGGTTGCACAGGGCTTTAGTGCCATTAACTCCACACTTGCACTGCAATGCTCTCTTGCCTCTTCCCATGTTCCCTTGCAGACTACAATAAATCTCAAGAATGACATTCAGTAAAGGGAAGAGATAAAGGCAGGTCTTAAGCTGTTTTTCTCAGTCAATGATTATACCAGGAGTTTAGATAAACCAGAGAAGATTAACTCCAGCACAACAAAGGGCTTGAGTGACTGGTGATATTGATCATGTGGCCCATCAATAGTTCAGACACTGAAGTGTGTGTTTACGTGACACAGTGTGTGTTTACACGAGGCAGTGTGTGTGTCAATGTGAGGCAGTGTGTGTGTCAATGTGAGGCAGTGTGTGTGTCAATGTGCCGCAGTGTGTGTGTGTGAGGCAGTGTGTGTGTGTGTGACGCAGTGTGTGTGTCAATGTGACGCAGTGTGTGTGTCAATGTGAGGCAGTGTGTGTCAATGTGAGGCAGTGTGTGTTAATGTGACGCAGTGTGTGTGTCTGTGAGGCAGTGTGTGTCAATGTGACGCAGTGTGTGTGCGTCAGGGTGCAGACTGTTCCTCAGCTGACAGGCTGCTCTGTCACGTAGCGCACTGCAGCCTGGGAGCTGCTTTGTTTTCGCACTCGTGTCCTGTGGGGGGAGGGCAGGGGGTGTGTGACCACGGCCGTTCTGATTGGATACAGCGCTGGTGTGTCTTGAGATGTCTTTAACCCTTTGTGTCCCTTAAGTAAGAAAGATGATAATAATAATAATAATTGCTTATACTTATATAGCGCTTTTCTGGACACTCCATTCAAAGTGCTTTACAGGTAATGGGGATCCCCTCCACCACCACCAATGTGCAGCATCCACCTGGCACTGGGGGCACCAGGAGAGGGTTATACTATTACAGTAGGGGGTCATCACAACAAATCATAAGAGCTGATGGCGTGGGCCGGTGCCGTGCTCCTAACCGAGGCTGGGAGATCTTGAAATATCAGCCTGAAAGAACTCATTCGAAACTGTAACCTGCCTGCATTGCACTTCCTGTCTGGCAAATCTGTCCCAAGGCTGTACGAAACAAAAGAGGCCTTGTGCTGCCGTGCGCCAA